TGACTCCTTCTAAGATCAACATGAAAATCCTTCTCTCTTGCTCCAATTTAATGCTATGTCATGTATTTAAAAAAAGGTATTAGTCGTAGCTGATATTAGCCTAAAAAATTAAAGTTGAAGGAACATAATCAACAATTCAAACACTTACTAAGTGGGGATTGATTTGAAAAACTTATATGGTTTAGTGTCTATTTGGATTGGAAGTAAGTAGGGGTGAGGAAAGTTACGTGAAGCATTGAACTTGTTTGGAAACTCATTTTAGTGGAATAATGACGGGGAAGTTAAGTAAAGTGAATGGGAAATTGTGTGGTTTTGTTCCCCTCCAAATTAGGGTTTAATTAAGGGGACAGGAATTGAACAAATGCAATGGTAAAAATTAAGTTTGGAGTCCTCTTCCATCTCCCTTACTGATGTTCCCAAACATTATGAAATAAATTTTCTTTCATTCTCCGTACTTAATTCCCAAACAGGGCGTTTGAGGACGCAATCGCCTAACATGGGGCCCAAAATCAAAATATGAAATGCTTCAGGGACTAATATAGAAATAACCCTATTCTACATTAAAAGACTGGGGCCCCCCTCCAAACAAAGGATGACCGTTGCTCGTTCACTCTTTCATCCGAACTACAAACCGACCATCCTCGAAGTTCCCAAAATAATAACGGTGTCACTTCGCCGCCTCGAACAACGCGAAGCTTGATCAAGTTCCGAATGGCGTCCTCCTTATTATTAACCTCGGACAAATGACGGTCCCTCCTCGATCATTAAACTCTAAACCCTAACCCTAGTCCCTAATTATCGTGCAGAGCTCCGGCCCTCTACCAAGAGCTTCCCATCGTTCGCATTGCTCGTTTAATCTTGCGATTTCCACCTGAGACCTGAGATGTTGAGGGCGATGGCGGATCCTTCGAGGATTTTGTACATCGCGGTGGTCGACGGCGACGGGGGAGAGAAGGAGCGAGCCGCCTCGTTTCGGTACACTCGATCCCTGCTTCAGAGCACGCTCCAGCTCATGGGATGCAAACCTCGTCACGCTTTCAAAGTATGCGATTTCTTTGATTTTCTCGACGAATTTAGTTCTTAAACTTGAGTTCGTTTTTGAGAGATTTATGGTAGAAAGAGGGAAAGCTGATGCTATTCTTCTTAGTCTGTTTTTGGTGTCTGCAGGATTCTGATTTGAGTGAATCCGCTTGCGAGTTTTTTTTTGGGGGTTTCTTTTGTTGATCTTTTAAGTTAACTTGTTAATGAACGGTTGACAGTTAGGGAAAGAATTGGATAAGATGTTGAAAATCGAGCAATCTTCGGTACAATTTTGGTTTTTCTTATTTTCTGGCCATGGGAATATGTTCAGCTTTTCTCTGTCTTATATTTGATGCTGAGTTTCCTGTTCCAAAAGTAGAAAAATCCCTCATTTCTCTTGAGCAAGTTTTTTTCCACCCCTTTCCTATTTACTGAACTAATTTTAGAGTTTGTGCAATTACTAAACTCTCTTGTCATGATGATCATACTGACTTTTTGGTAAGACCAAAACTTTTGATTCTCAAGCAAGAAATGGAAAATATTAGATGTTCAAACATGAAGCAGAGAGGAGAGGGTGGCTTTGCTTTCCATTCTTCTGCAATGCCTTCCTTCGTAGTTGGCCTCCTACACCATGATCCAATGACAAGAGTAAGGAGGAAGGGTAAAAACACACACACACACACACAAAAGTAAAATAAAATAAAATTCTAACAATGAAAACACAGAGGAAGCTATACTATCCGAGTACTTCTATCATGAAGCCATACCCATACTAGACACATACTTAACACGTACCTGTACCCAAACTTTATGGACACTCCTTGGATATATGCATACATTTTTTTGGACATGTACTCATTTATATGATATAAGTATTAATTTAAAACACTTGTCATTCACTTCTTGGACGTATATCATACACTTCACATTATTTTTTGAAACCTGTTATGCATGGGTCGGGTTCATTTCAACCCATACCCAAGTTCAAAACTATGAAAGGGTGATTTTAGTGTCTGGCCCAAAAAATGAGCAGTTTCCAATGTACAATAATCAACATCATTAAATAAACTTGTAAATGTGATAGGAATTTTAATTCTAATAACACATGAATTGGAAAAAATAATGATCTCATAAAAATTATTTATATATATATATATATATATATATATATATGAGAAAAATGAGTATGCTTGGTAATGAGGTGTCCTATTCCCATCCACTCATTCCAATTCCCAACCACTCCCCAACACATATGAATGTAGGCCCCGATTTTAATGAGTGGAGGGGCATATGTCATCTCACTACCAAGTACAAAAACTTATGCTTGATACCAAACATACCCATTTTTCTATATATATATATAGAGAGAGAGAAAAAAAATCTCATGTAAACTTAATTGGATAGGAGCTAGTCATCCACCAACTTTTTTATCCATTGATGTTGCATTGGGATCCGTAAAAGATATGAAGAGTTTTTTAAGATTTGTGCATCTCTTGATAGCACAAATCTAAAGACAAGATGAGTGGATAAAAAGTTTGGTGGACAATGCCTCCTATCCGCTTAAGTTGACATAAGCTCATCTCTCTCTATATATATATGTGCGTGTGCGCGCGTGCGTGCGCGCTGGGCTGGGCTGGGCTAGGTTGGTGTGTATGTGTAGTCGTGTCCGCATATCCTACATTTTACAAGTTTGTCATGTCCTATACCCACACACATACCAGTATCAGTACCTGTGTCCATGCAACTTAGGAGGGAAGTAATAGATCATGGAATTTTGTCACTCGGTTCCTTAACTAGCAACCATTCCTTATGTTGTTCGATTTTATAGAAGTTTTATATCTGACCAATATACCTAGAGTTCTGCTCAATGTTTTAGAAATCGCTAGGTGCTTCTAGGGGCCAGACCAAGTGCCTAGGCAAGCGCTTAAGTGGCACGTAAGTGTTTTAGCATCAAGAAAGGAAGGATTCTTTTTGAATATTTGAAATCCTGTCCTTGATGTTTGCCTAGGATGGACTTCAATATAAAGGTTTGATCTGAGCCTTTTTGACTTGGCATATTCTCTTCATTCGTTACTATACCTAGGAGAGCAATATACCCCTTTTTCATGTGGTGCAGTCCACATAAGCGTCTCATACTTCCCTAGGTGGTCCCAAGATCTAGGCAGGTGGCATAAGTACTGCTTAGGCCTAGGCGGGTGCCCCAGACCGCTTTTTAAAACAAGGGTTCTGCTAATATGGTAAAAATTATTTCTTTCTCATTTTCTAGCTAACTGACATTAGAACTGACCTTTTGAAATTAGTTTATTCATTTCCACTTCTAGTTGCATGTATTTATTTTCAGATATATGATTCATAAAGCATATAATGCTTATGCTGCTGCCTTACAAACAAATTTTTTTGCCGATGTAAAGCATGTTCTGCTGGTTTAGGGAACCTTTCAGGAGAGCTAACATTTTCATTCTCTCATATTATTGTAATCAGTTATTATCACAAAGAATGGATATATATGCCATACAACAGATTTTCTAGAGCAAGCTTAAGGTTATCCTAATGCTATGTATATACCTGACATATTTCAAGAATAACATAAACTCCACTTTCTCACTAATAAGGCGCTGCAAGTCAGCCTCCAGAGTAAAAACTTCGGGATCCTATCTAGTCTTATCGAGGTTGATTGGGTTAGTCCTCGGGATGATTTTGTGGTGTTAAAGGTGAGGGTCGGAGGCGTTACTTTTATATGGAAGTATGTAGGGTTCATAATTTGCAACACTGCTTGTTACCCAAACTCATTTGACTAATCATGCATGTTGTTATTCAATATTGAATGGGGCAACATCGAGTTGTGCTCTCTGAGCTTTAGGAACAATAATTTCAATGTGTGCAAAGAACTTCCGTTGTTCCTTAATTTTGTCTTGTTACTGAAAAATCTAGTTGAATGGGAATGCTCTTTGCCACTGTTAACTGTCTAATTAATAGTATTTGCAAAAAGAATGACAAACATAGTCAAGTCATTCATTATCAAAAGTTGGGTTGCATAGATAGGTAAAATCTTCCTTGTGCCATGTCATGCAAATTTGCACTTCTTGATTTTGTACATTGGGATTGTCCATGACATAACTCTTGTTTCAACTGAAATGACAATATGGATCCATTGTGGGATGTTAACGCTTAACAGTTATTCGATTTGCTTTTCTTTCCCAGGTGCTTAAGAGATCCAACTCTTAATTATTATTGTTTCACACTCGCACTTTAGAATTCTTTTTGGTGGTTTATTTGTTTTATTATTATTTCTCACTCACTCTCAAAATTAATCTTTTGGTGATTTATTTATAACCTTGTGTATTTTTATTTTCAAGTTATAATCCGTTTATATTTTAAGATTTCTTAACTTTGTTTCTAAGATTGGATTGATCAATTTATGTGGCAGATTAGCCGGAGAGTATTTGATGCTATCAGAAGCAAACAGTCAGCTGGTGAGCTATGTTCCCTGGGGGATAAATTGTTGATTTCAGATGCCTCAAATAAAATGTCTGATTCAGAGAGTGATGATGAAGCTTCCCTTCACTCATCTGAAGAAGGTGCAGGGACAATGAACTACATGCCGTTTGAGCTATACAAAAGGCTGACAACTATTGTTGTCCCAAGAGAAACCTTCTTGAATGTAGTATGTCACGCACTTTCTGAATACAAGTACGTGGGTCCTAATCAAAGGGCTGACTTGGTTCTGGCTTGCAGGTAGTTTGTTTTTTATACTCATTATAATCCCTATTAATGTTCCATAAATCCGTTATTACTCAGTTTAGGCACAATATTTTGGGATTACTCACTCAGCTTATATGTCAACAGCAAATCACATGGATAGCTTAATATTGTTTGCACTTTGTATGTATGGCTACCTAATGTGGTAAATTCCACTTAATAGCTTTGATTATTGCCCTCATTTGTAAATTTCAACTTCCTACTTATTGATTTCAAGAACCCATACTCTGTGAGGTATGGTGAGTCATAAGTACTTAACGGAGAGTACGATGGCATGGAGAGGGGAAAATGTTATGTTACTAGCTGATTATCTTTTTTATTTTTGGATATTCTGGTTTCCTATCTTATTTTCTAGATGTTATTGATCATGATGTTGAACCTATCTGTTCCCTTTCCATATGGCATAAGTATGATATGATAACATGATCACATAATTTTATCTCTCTTGTAATGTATGTGTGTGCATGTGCTTTGTGTGTGTATATCATAATATGTATAACATAGATAATATGTGACCTCATTCTTCAATGAGACTCTTACATATCGTTTATCATCATCCTGTAATCTGTAGATAAATATAATATAATAAGATGGATTATGATCTATGGTTGCTGATATCATGTGCCTTAGAGTTACTGAATATAAGTATCTTAAAGTCTTTAATTGTATTCAAACAATTTTTATTGCAAAAAGATGAGGACTTGAAGGTGAGATTGATTTCTAATTTATTTTCTTGATGACGTCACAAAATAGAATTCATTGATTCTTCTTTTTCTCAGTAGCCTAAATAAGAAATCCTCCGCCAATCTTTTACTGGCCATAAGGAAGTAACATGTTATCCGAACTAGTGCCCTACACAAGCCATTAAGGTGTTCTGTTTAAAAAACAGATTAAAGATTTGTATCCCTCTGAACCTATTGAAATGAGATAGATTCTAGATCTAATGTATATCATTTGGAGTACATTGGACCTAAACTTTGTCGATATGATTTGGAATTATTCCTATGACTTTTATTATAATTTTGGTTTGTTTCTCGTAGTTACCAAAAATGCTTGATAATTTTTTTTCAAATTATTTTTGGATGTTGTGGTAACAGGATATATCCTTATTTTGTTGGATTCTATATATGAATTTGAACTATGCCTCTAGTTATAGATCTGACTCCAAATCCTAGAATTCAAGTTTGATGGTGCAACCACTTTAGATGCCCAGTTAAGAATATATGTCATCATCTGTATTAAACATCTGCAGTCTCCTTTAGTCAACTATCTAGTGTGCCCAGCATGACCAACTTTTGTTTAAAATCTCATGTTGGTTTTCATGCTTTTGAGGTTCAACCCTATAGATGCTTTAAGGTTAAAGCTGAACAAGTTCCAAATCCTGTCAAGGTTACCTGACCTGTCAATCTACAGATGCTTTAAGGTTAAAGCTCAAGAAGTTTATGTAGGGTACAGGCACCTGTATAGTGACATCCAATGCCTTGATTTCATAAAATAACCCACTTGCATTGTATTTTAAGACCTTTGTACTGTCTACCATGCTGATTTAGGTGGCAACATTTTTATTTTTTACTAGGATTTTCTTTATTTTTTAATGTTTTATATCAATTTTGTAGAATACGTGAAAGAAAGGAATCTGTCACAGTTCTCTTGTGTGGCACAAGTGGATGCGGCAAGTCAACGCTGTCTGCCTTGCTGGTAATTCTCTCACATTTTTTTCCCTTTATCATGAACTGCAATGAATTTCCAAGTCCTCAACTTCTGCCTTCTTTTCAGTTGCACGCCGATGAACACATTGTCACATGCTCAGACATCCACTAGTACATGAGCACATGACTACCAATAAGTGTGCATGCTAAGACATGCACTCATGCAGCTGCATCACTATGCAGCTTTTACTGCTGCATGGGCACATGTATACATATGTAGAAGAACTGAAGCAAACACCGCCTAATTGCGCACGTGGCAGAAGTTATTTGCACATGTCCACACCAATCTGTGTTCATGCAAATATGCATGCGCACAATTTAGAATTTTATATACAAGGAGACACATGGACATGTATGCACACTAATGGTTTTGAAGTTGAGAAATTCTACATATGAACTATCATCCGTAGACTCTGGAAAGCACCTACACCTTATGGCATAACTCACTGTTTCCATATCCTTGGTGACTGATCATGGGAAAGGTACGCCGTTAGAGCGAATGCACCTTCACTCCTACTCCTTTGACTGATTGTTTGTACTGGATCTCAGGTTCTCTATTGCACTACCCTGTTAGGGTTCTTTTCACTTTTCCCTCGTGGTACTTGTACGTTATCAGTCATTGAGGAATACTTAGGCTTTTGAGTTCAGCATACATCTCAAATTGATGTCCCCAATCAAACTAAGCTAAGCCTTGTGTATCGGCAAGAGAATACTGAATGTCTTCACTTAGGAATACAAGAACTATTTGTTGGAAATTCGTGCTAAATACATGCAAAGTACGCAACGGAAGACTATATGTATAATAATACTAAGCATGTAGAGAGTATGAAAAACAAGCTAGAATCATCCTAATTAAATGTAACATGATCCCTATAAAAAAAGAGAGCAACAAAGAGCTTTGAAGGCTTACTTTTGTAGCGTGATTCGATAGTAGATCGAACAACCCCTAGCTCTTTCTCCTTGTTGTTGTAAACCTCCTTGTAGTGGATCTCCAAGTCTTCAAGTGAGCTTGATAAAATCAGAGTCTTCTTGAGACACAAGACAAGATATCCATCACGGGGTATTTTAAAATCCTACTACTTCCTCTTTATTTTAAAATCCTACTACTTCCTCTTACTCAAACATTGTTAGAGTTTAGTAAGAGGATAACTCTCTTTTATTCTCTTATGAAAAAAACCACTTAGCCAATTTTTCGTTAACCTTTCCATAAGAAAGAGTCTCCTTGTTGTTGTAAACCTCCTTGTAGTGGATCTCCAAGTCTTCAAGTGAGCTTGATAAAATCAGAGTCTTCTTGAGACACAAGACAAGATATCCATCACGGGGTATTTTAAAATCCTACTACTTCCTCTTTATTTTAAAATCCTACTACTTCCTCTTACTCAAACATTGTTAGAGTTTAGTAAGAGGATAACTCTCTTTTATTCTCTTATGAAAAAAACCACTTAGCCAATTTTTCGTTAACCTTTCCATAAGAAAGAGAGCTCATATATATAGAGTGAGATATGTCATGACTCATCTCATGAGTCATGTCATGAGTCATCTAAATGTAATGATTCCTTTCATGAGTCATGCAATGACTCATCTCATGAGTCATGCAAAGAGTTTTGATTTAGCTCTCTTTTATTCTCTTATGAAAAAAACCACTTAGCCAATTTTTCGTTAACCTTTCCATAAGAAAGAGAGCTCATATATATAGAGTGAGATATGTCATGACTCATCTCATGAGTCATGTCATGAGTCATCTAAATGTAATGATTTCTTTCATGGGTCATGCAATGACTCATCTCATGAGTCATGCAAAAAGTCATGAAGAATCAAAACTATGTACTAAAACCATATGTCCAAACCATACCACCTTAATGACTCATTAATCAAGGTATAATGAAGTGTCTTTTATAAATAAAAACACCACATCAATACAGTGTTTCATAAATACGGTATTACGTAATTTTTTAATCATTAACTAATAAGTCATCATATGATCAAAAAAATCAATGAGTTGATCAAAATCAACTGTTGACCAAAAAGTCAATCAATTGACTAAAAGTTAACTTTATGGAAAAAAATACTAGAATTTATTTCTTAAGTACATAGCATTCTGATTTTACCGATATATATAACCGTTTATGTGTATCCGGTGAAAATCATATATGTGTATCAATCATACGCATTAACTCTATAAATTGTATTTCATAGGATTCAAGTACGCGCTTGGTGTGATTCTAGGACCCAACTTAAGACTCGACAGTGGATCATATCCACTAGTACAACAAAGGTGCTAGCTATACATGAAGACTACCCGGGTATAAGTTATGATAAATGTCTGTAAGATGCTTACATAATTTTATCAGGACCACTCAGTGATAATACCGTACAGTTCGGTCTCTTCGTCAAACCATGTCAAACTATAGAGCCTAGGGTATGAAAAACTGTCAAACTATAATAGCTTGATTAGTGTTTGTTGATATTAAACTCATAACCTTTAAGATCAAACTGACACTCAGTTTATCTTATTTAACTTGGCCAAGGATTTTCAGGCTATAGTTATATTAAATAATCTTATGACATCAACCCCCCTTATACTGGGAGAGACGAATCTCATCTTGACATCTCAATATCTACTTATGTCTCGGGATGCACCCAACAAGAACCGTTATGCACAATTCAGCGAGAATTATGGTTAGGTAAGAGTCTAAGTACACCTATACTGACATGTAAGATATTGCACTGATGTCTCAGTTAAAAAGACTACTTTGTACTATATCACTTTAGAACTTCTATATGACAGTTAAGTATAATTACTAACTAGACGTTCTCAGTGAGTCGTTCAGTCAACTCATTCACTAATGAGTCATCTGTATACTATATCTTGATGTATCACATCAATGATCTAAGAGATTGATCATTATCCTACCTAAAAAGAAATAGAGTATACACTAGTCTTCCCAAAGTGATAAAATCTCATTTTAACACTTCATCAATTAGGAATATTTTAGAATATACATTTGTGACAAATCAGATCTATTCATTACGATCATATCCGAAATATCTGATAGTCTAGTATCATTCTAAGGACTTTATCTATATTAAAATATCAGATAAAATCATATCCGAAATATCTGATAGTCTAGTATCATTCTAAGGACTTTATCTATATTAAAATATCAGATAAATACTGACCAAAATAGTTCTAAGGACTTTATCTATATTAAAATATCAGATAAATACTGACCAAAATAGTATACTATCATTTTGAACAAGGATATTATATTCATTTAGGTTTTGTTACAATATACAATTATTGCCTATAGGGCACCTATATCTAACAAACTCTCACTTACACTAAGGCCAATAATTATAGTATCTAATACCCAATAGGTCAACAAGTTTTTCAAATTGTGTACGAGTAATTACCTTGTGAATGGATCTGTTATATTATATTTTATGTCTACTCTTTCAATCTTGATCTCTTGGCAATCAACTATCTCCCTGATCAAGTGATACTTCCTCATAATGTGTCTGGACTTATGATGAGATCAGGGTTCCTTTGTCAGAGCTATTACAGTATTGCTTTCACAGTATAAAGGTACTGGATCTTTAATGATGGGAACAACTTCCAATTTTAAAAGAAACTTCCTCATCCAGACAGCTTTTTTGGCTGCACCATTTGTCGCAACATATTCGGCTTCCATAGTAGAGTCTGTTACTGTGTCCTGCTTGGAACTTTTCCAACTGGTAGCCACTCTATTGAGGATAAAAACATATCTTGAAACAGATTTACTATCATCAATATCGCTCTGAAAGCTAGAGTCGGAAAAAACCTCCATTTGGAGGTTACTTTTACCGTATATCAAAAATAACTATTTAGTCCTTTTCAGGTACTTAAGTATATTTTTAACCGTTTTTCGGTGCTCTTCTTCATGATTAGATTGGTATCTACTTACCAAACTGAGTGAATAAGCGATATCCGGTCTAGTACATAACATGACATAGATGATCGATCCTACTGCCGAGGCATAAGGAATTAGACTCATGCGTTTCCTCTTTTCATCAGTCTGGGGAGAAATCTTTTTAGAGAGGGAGATTCCAGGAGATGTAGGTACGAAACCTTTCTTAGAATTTTTCATGCTAAACTGCTTTAGCATGTATCTAGATTGGGATAATCCTAATATCCTTTTAGATCTATCTTTATAGATCTGAATACCAGTATATAGGATACTTCACCTAAATCTTTCATGAAAAATCTTTTTGATAGCCAAATTTTAACCGTTTGTAATGACAGTATGTCATTACCGATTAAGAGTATATCGTCTACATACAAAATAAGAAACGATACTATACTCCCAATTATCCTTTTATACATACATGGTTCATCTGGATTTTTGATGAAACCAAACTCTTTGTACTATACTCCCAATTATCCTTTTATACATACATGGTTCATCTGGATTTTTGATGAAACCAAACTCTTTAATAGCATCATCAAAACAGATGTTTCATCTCCGTGATGCTTGCTTCAGTCTATAAATGACTTTAAGCAACCTACATGTTTTTTCACTATTCCTACTAGCTACAAATCCCTCTGGTTAAGACATATATGCACTCTTCTAAATCATCATTTAGAAATACAGTTTTGATGTCCATTTGCCGGATCTCGTAGTCATAGTGAGCAGCTATAGCAAGTAGGATCCAAATAGACTTTAGCATAGCCACTGGAGAAATAGTGAGCAGCTATAGCAAGTAGGATCCAAATAGACTTTAGCATAGCCACTGGAGAAAAGGTTTCATCGTAGTCCAAACCAGGTCTTTGACGAAAACCTTTAGCTACCAGTCTAGCTTTAAAAGTCTCTACTTTCCCATCTACACCTAATTTTTTCTTAAACAACCATTTGTAACCTATGGATATCACCCCTTTAGGAGCATTGTCTAAGATCCATATTTTGTTGGTGTACATAGAGTCTATTTCGGATTTTATTGTATCATGCCAAG